CTGTGTAGGTATGTTTAAAAAATGTTGTACCTGTCGTCGTTGTAAAATTTAGAGATCAAGTAAAGGTCGATTGAGCAAATTACTGCATTTTACTATTAAAAAGAGATCATATTCCTATTCACTTACTGTGGATTTGCAGTAGAACAAAAGTAATCGACATAGCTATTGGCCCAGCAACGGCCATTAAGATTAAGTGGATAGCTCGAAGAGCCGACAACCGATAGGGAAGAGAACTGGAGTGGTGTTCCCATCGGCAAGTGGTGTATAGGGCAATATTTATGGCACGCCAGGGAGGCCTATGACCAGCAGTGGACTTGTGAAAGTCATGAATAAATGAATACAATAAGTACTTATACGTATGTCCAAATTAACGTTTGTTTTTCAGAACTTGGCCGATTTATATCTCGTAAATATACTGACACTATTAACCTTCAATCATGAATACAATTAGTGCACAGTGCGGAAACAGGCAGAGAATAAGCCTTATAGTCTAGTAAAATATCGTTATATATAGGCCTCCTCCAAAGATTACCTCATAGGGGGATATTTGCAGAATGCGGGCGCTGTGGTTGCAAGTTTTCTTATTATTTTGAACTGTTATCAAAAAGTTGTTGCTATCAAACACTGATATACGTGGTAGAGCCATGCTGCTGCTATATTTATGGTATAGTTGTAACACGAATGGGTCGGCTTGACCGGGGAAGGACCACGCTCTCACATAATACCAGCGTAAAATAGCAGCTTAATGCTGCTGTGTTTCGTATGGTGAGTGTAGAGAACCGGAGACCCTTTTTACTAGAAACGAGGCATTCCATCTTGGTCTTCACGGGTGACAACGCATCTGCATTTTGATTTGTAATAGAGGTTAGATGTAGATGTCAATGGGCCGCAGCAACCACTTAACATCAGGTGGACTGTGTGCTTGTTTGTCACCCTTATCCTTTAAAAAAAACCGTGTTTCACCTCTTAAGGAGGCTTGATGTAGCTTAGTTTCTGTTATAGTTTTGATTAGCATGTGTGATATTTTGGAATTTGATGATAGTTACTTTTCTTGCTCTTCTTCTGGTTCTTCCGATAAGACCTATAAAAGCGCCTTAAGCGATGATTCCACTCATTTACATGATCAACTAGTAGCCGTATTCTGTAATTATAGTAAAAATCTTAATATAGTCCATATTAACGCTCAAAGCATTCATGCTCATTACGCTGACCTTTTATCAACCTTTGATTCTAAATATGTTGATGCCATACTTGTTTCTGAAACTTTTCTAAAACCTGCACTTCCGTCGGTGCAGTATTGTCTCCCTGGTTTTCAACTTATACGCAATGACAGGGTCGGCAAAGGTTATGGTGGAGTGGCAATCTATTTGAGAGCTGATATTCCCTATAAAATAGTTGATCATTCACCCAATATTTACTCAAATTTTGCTGAACATTTATTTATTGAAATTACTATTAATCATTCTAGGACTTTGCTTGGGGTCTATTATCCCCCCTCTCGCAATATAAATTATTTTTCTTCTCTGGAAGAAAAACTTGTGAATCTTACTCCGCTTTATGATAATACCATTATTTTAGGTGACTTTAACACATGCCTGTTAAAGAATGATTTTCGTAGCAAAAAATTGCTCTCCCTGGTATCATCTTTTAATTTACATATTCTTCCTCTTTCTGCTACTCACCATTCGCCTAATAGTACCCCTTCTCTTTTAGACCTTATTCTTGTATCTGATGCTGACCGGGTTGCTTCGCATGGTCAACTATCTGCGTCTTTCTCTTACCACGATCTTATCTTCCTCTCCTATAAAATTCAACGTCCTAGGCGCAAATCGAAATTCTTATTCCTAAGAAGCTTTAAATCAATTAACCTGGAGCGTTTGAGAGATGATGTAAATAATATTGACTGGTCCCCTGTTCTAAATTCCGAAAATGTTAATGATAAGGTTTATGCTTTTAATCACCTCATTTTAAAACTCTTCGATACACATGCACCACTTAAGCGAGTCAGGGTTAAACACTTTCCAGCCCCCTGGCTTTCAGAGTCTATAAAAGCAGTAATGTCCAAAAGAGATAAAGCTAAGAGGCGTTATAAGAAGCACCCTACTAATGAAAATTTATTCACTTATAAAAAACTACGTAATCGCTGTAGTAAGATGTGTCGTGATGCTAAGAGGAGACATATCTATGATGAGGTTGAAAATTCTCAATCCGCTCAGATGTGGAAATTTCTTAGAACTCTGGGTATAGGCAAATCATATAATGATCCTAATATCTCGTTTGATTTGACTGCACTCAACCGGCACTTTTCTGAGCCTCCGATTTCTATTGATGACTCTATTAAGTCTGTGACACTTAATCTTCTCTCCAATATTCCTAAGCCGCTGTGTTCTCCTTTTAATTTCAGTAAAGTTACTGATGGTGAAATAAAAAAATGCCTTTCATCTATTTCCACTAAAGCTATTGGCTATGACAATCTTTGTATACAAATGATTAAACCTATCACTAATGAACTTGTCCCTATTATCACTCACATTATTTCTTCGTCGCTTGAGACGAGCTCCTTTCCAACTTGCTGGAAAAAGGCATTCATCATTCCCCTTCCAAAAACTTCTAATCCTACATCTTTATCCCAATTCCGCCCTATTTCTATTCTTCCGATCTTATCTAAAGTACTAGAAAATATAGTTCAGAGGCAACTATCTCATTTCCTAACTGTTCACAGCCTGCTGTGCCCTTTTCAATCTGGTTTTTCGTCCAGGCCATAGCACAGTCAGCGCTCTGATTAAAGTGTCTGATGACATTCGCTGGGCCATGGACAAAAAATTTCTCACTGTTCTAACATTATTGGACTTCAGCAGTGCATTTAATTCCGTTGATTATGACATACTTCTTAGTATTCTTTCGTCCTTAAACATTTCACCATCAGTAATCTCTTGGTTTAATTCTTACCTTAGGGGTCGCTCGCAGTGTGTACGCCATGAGGAGGATTTTTCCGAGTGGTGTGATCTTACGGCGGGTGTTCCTCAGGGTGGTGTTCTTTCCCCACTTCTCTTCTCTATTTTTATCAACGCTCTCACTACTGTTCTCACCTCTCATTATCATCTCTATGCTGACGACTTGCAATTATACCGTCATTTCAAAGTCCAAGATATAGATGAGACTATTAATAAGCTGAATGCTGACCTAAGTAGCATAAGCAGTTGGGCGAAATCGTTTGGTCTTCTTGTTAATCCTGTTAAATCCCAAGTAATGATTATCGGCAGCTCATATATGCTTAATTTATTAGATCGTTCGAAGATCCCTGCAGTAACGTATGATAATACTCAAATTCCATATACAGAGACTGCTAAGAACTTAGGTGTTATTTTTGATAATAATTTGTCTTGGGTTGCTCACATTAATATGATTAGCAGAAAAGTGAACTATTCTTTTCAATCTCTCAAGCGCCTCCAGATGTTTTTACCGTTAAAAACTAAGATAACCTTAGCTCAAGCACTTCTTCTTCCTCTCATTGACTACGCTGATGTTAGTTTTTTGGATGCTTCAGAGGAGCTGTTGAACAAACTGGAACGTGTCCAAAATTTGTGTATACGTTTTATTTTTGGTCTTCGTAAGTTTGATCATGTTTCAGAGTACAGGGCTCAATTAAAATGGCTTCCTATCCGTAGACGTCGAGACTTACATGTGTTATCATTTCTTTACTTTCTACTCTTTAATCCTCTTGCACCTCCATATCTCCGCGAGCGTTTTGAGTATCTTGTACCTCGTGAAACTCAGTGCCGGACCACTAAACAGCTGCTTCTCAGAACTCCTTCTCATTTCACAAGGCGATGTGGTGGATCCTTTACGGTAAGGGCGGTCAAGCTATGGAACTCACTTCCACATGACATACGTGCTAGCTCTTCTCTTGATAGATTTCGGAGCAGAGTAAGAAAATATTATCTATCAACTTAGAATTACAAATATTTATATATGTTATGTATTTATATGTATAATTGTATATATATATATATATTTATATATGTGTACATGAATATACATATATATATATATATACACATACATACATATGTATATATGTATGTATGTGTATATATATATATATATATATATATGTATATTATATATGTATATTTATGTGTGTATGTGTATATGTGTATGTGTTTATTATCTTTATTAGTATATATGTATGTAAATCAATAGAAATAAGAAAATAAATTATACTTATATTTTATACACTTATATGTTAATTTTCAACTGTAACTTTAGCCAATTTCTATTAAGTAGTGTTAAGTTAAATATTAAGTACGCACGCTGCTACCTACTTGCTTTATATGTAAAACTATTTCGCTTTCCCAATAGGTTTGCTGGAAGAAAACTCTTACTAGGGTTAAGCTCGCCTTTGTACATTTTATTTGAATATTTAATAATTGTTACCAACTTAGTGTGTACAATAAAGAATAAAGAATAAAGAAAAGGAGGCATCCTCAAGTGAAATAAACTCTGCGGTGGTAGAATAAGAATCTTATTCTCTCTGTTGGGATTAGTGGTGACCGGGACAGTGCACGCGATTGACGAAGGGCGGGAGGTGCTCGTCAAACTACGTAAGGCACATCATTTTATTTTATTACGTGAATCTTAGGTAGTTAATTTTTAACATCTTTACCCAATGGATTTTCATAATGTAATGCCTGATTCTATTAATTATAAATAGGTACCATACCATGGTAACATAGTCATATATAGATTTTTTATACACGCATTAATTTGTTACCTTTTGTTGTTCTAAACCCTTGATTAATCGCCTTGGTTGTCCTCACAGCGGCCTTGTAGATCCTCCAATAGAAGAACAGCATGACGAACATGGGGATGTAGAAGGAGCCGAGCGCGGAGTAGACCACGTAACCGGCGTCGTTTGTCAGCTCACACGTCCATTTGCAGGGCGGGTTGGGAGACCAGCCATCCTTTAATTCCGCTTCTTCTGGCTGTATTGAGATGTATTACATGAGTGCTGATGGATTACATAGGTTGCGATGAGACTGATTACAACATATGTAATAGTAGCGTTAAGGATAACAAAGAGGATAAGACTTTTTTAATATCGCCAAGGCTTCTCTTAACTGACAAGTAGCTAGATTCTGGTACCTGTCAAATATGCGACACCCATGGTGTGACGACGTGGTATGACATGCAGGAAGTCGATGGATGCAGGTGACTTAAGACCGTGTTTTGTGGCATTCCTTGAGGGAGGCCTATGTTCAGCAGTGAACTTGTGAAGTGGATGATGATGAGAGCTACGCTGCAACTATATTATAGTTGTAGAGCGTTAAACGTGGTTGATCCATGCTGCAGCTATATTAATTGTATAGTTGTAGCACGAATGGGTAGGGTCGATCGGGGAGGACTACGCTCTCACAGAATACCAGCGTAAAATAGCAGCTTAGTGCTGTTGTGTTTCGTATGGCGAGTTTAGAGAATCGGCGACCCTTTTTACTTGAAAAGAGGCATTCTATCTTAGTCCTCACGTCTGACAACGCATCTGCATTTTGAACGCAGCAAACGAGGATAGATGCAGATGTCTATGGGCCACAGCAGCCACCTACCATCAGGTGGACCTTGTGCTCGCTTGTCATCCTTATACTATAAAAAAACCATGAATGGCTACACTTTCTCAGAATACGTTAAATAGCAGCTTAATGCTGTCATGTTTCGCATGGTGAGTGTAGAGAACCGGAGACTCTGCAAACGATGCATTCCATCTTAGTCCTCAGAGGTGACAACGCAACTACATTTTGACACTTAGTCAAGGATAGATGTAGGTGAAACAGAAACAGAAAAAGTGTATGCTATGGAAATAGCTAAAGTAAACTAATCTAGCTGTTTCAACACTGGTAAGATTTCTAATCTTTTTTACAGCATATACTGCAGAACTAAGTCTGCTGCCTAGTTTTGATATATAGGGCTACATTGAAGCTTCGCGTCTAGTGTGGTTCCAAGAAAAATGGTGGTATCTACAAGTTTCAGTTCCACCTCTTATTTCAACACACCATCAATAAGTATTTAATTGTTTGACATTTGGAGTTATGAATTTCATACATTTCGTTTTAGTGTCATTTAAATGCAAATTATTAAAATCGAACCAATTTACTAATTTAGATATAGCATTATTTACTTCGTCATATTTTAGTAATTATCGTCTTAATCTGAAAATTAAAGAAGCGTTATTAGCAAATAATACTATATCATGGTTATGCCCTACAATGTAAGGTAAGTCATTAATGTATACAACAAACAGAAAGGGCCCGACAAGCCCCCATTTGTACCATAGACCCGGAAGAACTCAAACTTTTAATGGCAAATTTTTGCGTTCTGTTACTTAAATATGAAATAATTAATTTAAGAGCATCACTTCTTACACCGTAGTGTTGAAGTTTCCTGATTAATGTTTCATGGTGAACACAATCGAAAGCCTTGGATAGGTCACAGAATATACTTACCCAAAGCATCCTGTAAATTCTCCCATGCATTAAAGATATATTTAATCAGCTCAACACCGGCATCTGTTGTCGAGCGACCCCTTGTGAAACCAAATTGTTTTTTATGAAGTAAATTATTTATATTAAAGAAATTTAACATTTGATTAAAAATATTTTTTTCACAAATCTAAGTGTTGGTAGTACAGAAATTGGTCTAAAATTGGCGGGGTCTAATGTACTACCAGATTTAAATAAAGGTATTACTTTACTATGCTTCAATAAATCAGGAAACATACCAGATTTGATACTATTATTAAAAATAATAGCTAGATGAGGCGCGATTGTATCTGTTGTAGACGCAATAACTTTAACGGAAATCCCTCACAGATCCGCAGTTTTCTGAAGCCCGGTTTCCACCGCGAGCGGAACGGACCATTTATTATTCCTTTTAACTCGCAATACAAAACTGCATACATGTGTTTCCACCAACAAAGATTCGAGTGTAAATGACAACGAGGTCGAAAAGAGTAAAAATGAGCTGCGGACTCGGACCGGAGTCGTTACCGAGTCCTTTCAACTCGCAATTGAATTTTACAAAGTAGTGTTTCCACTGAAAAAGAGTTGAGCGGAGCGGACCAAACGAATAACATGTGTCCGCTGCGTCGTGGTCTCGCCGACTAGTTTGAAACGGACTCGCTCGACGCTGCTGTTTTCTGTAGTTAGTATTTTGTTTTAAAATGTCGGCCTTTACAAATGACAAAAGTTCTTGAAATTGTTCTTTGCTAACCCTGTAACAGTTCTTAAGTTATTCGTCGTCCCTATCATTGAATAGCCTATTCCTCTCCCCTTTTAATCTTCTTTCTCGAATGTGCCGACGTAACCAAAATCTCCGTTTTGCACGTTTTTTTCCGTGCTTAAGATATAATAATATATACTTTTTCTTTCGGTATACATAATCACTGTCCTCACTTAATTCCGTGTCACTCGATAACATCGCGAATTCACACAACAAAACAATAACGCACGTAACCAGTTCAAAACTCCAACTGAAGTCACTCTCGTTGGAAATTGACTATTCATTTCCCATTTCTCATATTCCGTTTAGCTCGCTCCGCTGATTCTTCTCTGTCGTTATCCATTTGCAGTGGAAATCAACAGGCAAAACTCTTTGTTGGTGGAAATGCAAACCTATTTTGTTTACTCGTAAAAGGAGTCCGTTCCGCTCACCATTTCCCACTCATTACCCATCCGCGGTGGAAACCGGGCTTTAATATCAATAGTTTTAAAATATTTTACAATATCCTTTGATGATACTTTATGAATTGAAAAATTCTTTATATACTCATTTACATTTTGTTTAAGTAATGAAGTTTCGCTATTAATTATACTCTATATTTTAATTTTATTAGAAGCCGTCTTAATTTTGTTACTCAAATGCAAAGACTTGACTGTGGAGTACACTCTTAAATATTTTGGAATATTTTTTTACATATTCCCTAAATTCGACGCTATGATTATATGACCTTTCATGGTAAAGATCATATAAACTTTGTCTACTCTTATGGACTCCTACTGTCGCCCATTCATTGAATGAATTCCGACTGTTCAAGGAGAATGTTTTAGAAGTGAAAGTATTATTAAATTCATTGCAAATAAGCTTAAACAATGTTCCATACAAAAAATTAGAATCATTTTGGTATGCAGGTGATGGAAGCTTTTTCACTATGTTGCGTCTAAACTTCTCCAAGCGACGTGCATTTACTGGAACGTGCATTTAATGGATGTCTATAAGGCTCAAGAACCACTTACCATTAGGTAGACTGTGTGCTCGTTTGTCATCCTTCATTTTGTTTGTATTTGTTGATTATATACACACCTTCTTGTCTTTCCATCCAACCAGCGGTGGGAAGCATATAACAAAAGACAGCACCCACAAGCCAGCGATCAGCGCCTTAGCCCTCTTCTTGCTCATGATGCTGGGGTAACTGACTGGCCGTGTCACTGCCACATATCTGTCTAGGGATATCGCGCACAGGTTGAGGATCGAGGCGGTGCACATCCAGACATCGACTGCCAGCCACACCGAGCACCATACGTCGCCGAATATCCATATCTGGAATCAATTTAATTTTGTTTTGACTCATATCCACCTGATAATATGTGGTAATGCAGCTGAAGATGGTGAAGTGCACTGACTTAACAAAAGCCTATTTTCTCTTGTCTTGAAGACACCTACAACTATAAAGACAGATGACGCAAACCGTATGGTTACAATGCGTGGCAAGTCGTCAACAAAAGTGTGGAGAGTTGCTGATCGTGTGGTTGTCAGGTGATGGAAGGTAGAGGTAGGAATTAAGTTTTACGAAGAGGGAGAAATGCATCCTGTACAAAACCGAAAAGCTAGCTATTTGGCGCCTGTGTTCAACACTGGTGAGATTGGTTTTAAACATTAACATATAGTCGGGATAACTCAAGGTCTAAATAGCTCAAGGTGGCCTTCGGCAGCAGTGAGTTCGAACCCTGCCAGCTCTACTGAAATTATTAATTGCAATTTTAATTGCTGATCTAAGTTTTTGATAAGTCTTGTTTCACGATCAAAGAGACAGCCTTTGATGGTGAATCACGACTTCGTAAATTGACCTTTATGTCTGAGAAATAAAATATATTAAAAAAAGAATTCTACTAACTTCATTAAAATTACTAAAGTGATAGTTCACGACAGGGCTTGTAAAGCGGATTCGAACCCACGACTTTAAACCTTAGGTTTCCTTCCTATCTATTCTATACATTCTATATAAATAAATAAAATTAAAGTGTCTGTTTGTAATGTCATAATAACAGCTTTTTACTAAACGCATATGAAAGTTTATACGGTACTTATAACAAAAACAATTTTTAAAATTTTTGTGTCTGTCTGTCTTTCTAATTAAACATAAGGAGGGACTTAGGCTTTTTTTACTATAGAAATATAGTTAGGGATTCGCGTAAAAATATTAAAAACCCATAACATTGTGAACAAAATCAGATTCAAATAGGTAAGTATAATAATAAATTACTAGAAATTGTAAGATTTGATAACACGCATGAGGGCAGCATATAGGATTTGTTTTTGCCCTAATCCTTTCAGAAATAAGTTTTATTGCTGGGCACTGGCCTTATCGCAATACTATTGCGAGCCGGGCCTCGCTCTACTAGGGTTCAGTATATATTATTACCAATATTTTTATTATAAAAAAAAATGTTATAAAATGGTACATTACACATTTTTGAGATAGACCCCGAGATAATATACACAGATAGCTTTATATTAGTTTGACAGCCCGGCTTGCTTTATTTTGTAGATAAAAAAATATATTTTGTACTATTTACAATGACCTCTAGATAATGACAATCTAGACACTAGGTTAAGAACAAAAATCAATATTCGGTTGTGGGTCAAAATTGTACGCCAAATATCCAATTAAAATAACTTTATGGATTATATCTTGTTTATTTTTAACTATTTAATTCCTGACTGATTTTATTTCATCGTGCGGATGTACGCGAAGTAATTTTTTACCAACTTTAATATAATGGATTTCCGCAAAGTAACGCCTGATTCTATTAATTAATTAGTTATTATTAAAGCAGTAAATTAGTTATTATTAAAGCAGCTAATTACTTATTATTAAAGCAGCTAATTAGTTATTACCATTAAGTGGACTGTAGGTTCAACTTTCACTTCAGTTTCATAGAAATGAGATTAAAAAAAAACGGCATCTAAACGTAAAATAGAACGTAATTTCAGACTACCTATTTTTACTGCAGAATATTTATTTTCACAAAATTTTAATTCTGAACGCTGAGGGGCTCTTGTCTTTAATTGCGTCTCCGCGTTAATTGGAAGGTTAATTATCATACGTTTTGAATTGTAAACGAAGACTTAAAGTGCCTTTTAAAATTTGAAAACTTATGGGTGAAAGATTGGAATGCCTATGTGTTGAATTTCAGTGCCTGCCGGAACTCTATATCTGATACAGAGCAGTGCCATCGGTGATCTAAGCTATTAGGTCACAAAAAACAATCCAAGTTTTTTCGAATAACATGGATTTATTTGTGAAATACAAAAATTAATAAGATATATGGTCATTGATCATAATTTATAAAATCTAAATGATGTTTCATTAACAGATCCCATAGGATCTAGCCGGGTCGAGTCACTAGTAATGTAATAATTTTAAAAACATGCGAGTTTCCTCATGAAGTTTCCCTTCAACATTTCACATGATTCTTTTCACATGTTTAAAATAAATTAAACTTAATATAATATTTTAATATAACTATTTGAAATAACTGAGATTTAATTTAATTTAATATTTTTAAATCTCAGTTATAACACTGATAATATTTATACCAGGAAGATATGTCTCCGCAATAACATTAAGCATAAAAGCCATAGACAACACTGAAAGACTCATCATTTTCCGTAATTAGACACTTTAGGGACCGCTGCGCCAGCAACAGATGGGGGACGTCGAAAAGTTTCCCCTCCTTCACGTTCCAATTTCAACCTTACTTCTAAAACTTAAAGTTGTTTTTACAAAACTGTTATCTAACATTTAAATCAGTGAAAGTGCTAAATCATTTTAGACGTTATCTAGCAAGAGACTGATATTATTTTATAAAGAAGAGTCAAATGAAAACCTTATAAAATCCATTGAGTGAGGATATTTTTTTAAAGTAAAACAAACGAGCACACAGTCAATCTGATGGTAAATGGCCGATGTGGCCTAGAGCGACCACATCTATCAATTAACAATTAAATCGAGATGCATCACCCCTGCAGAATACTGGCAATAAGCCCGATACCAGTAACAAGAGTATCCAGTATTCGCACTCATCATTCGAAACACAGCAGCATCAGTGCGAGTGTGATTGTTCCCCGGTCGAGCCGACCCATCCGTGCCGCGGTCATTAAAGGCTGCCGGGTGACAATTACTGTCTACTGCTGAAAAAAATCTCTCCATAGATTGCCACAAAAGTGGGGGTAGGAGGGTATATTTACTAGAGTTGCCACGTTTGGCAATCGAGTTAACAAATCCATTTTTATTTATATCAGCTATTATCACGAAGACACTACTGCCCATTACCTTATTAAGTTTCCCTCTGTCGCCTCTTACGACACCCAGGTAATCGTGTAGTGAATATAAACTACCCCACAGGGTAGTTTATATTCTCACACCGCCACTACACGGTTAGGTAATAAAGATAATCAGGCCGTATAGATGGTGAAACTTTAAGATCAGAATCTAATCGAACTCTACTTGCTCGCGTACAAATTAAATCATAATAATAATTTTTTTTTAATTAATTTATTTATTTAATTCAAAAACTCTTGTGGTACACAAGGTTAAATTTTACATAGAAACATTTTTTTGTTGTTATCATCAAAAATTAATAATCATACATTAAATAATTATATAATAATATTAATATAAAATCTCGAAGCTTTTAGCAGCCCGTGTCAAGAAATTAAAACTGTAGTAAAGCCAATTGAAACAATAAAGTATTAATAATTAAGGTATTAACCCATTATGTCCAGTACATATATGTACACCTATTATATACACATAGTGCTACAAATTAAACTCTATTGTAAGTTAAAATACTACACTTAAGGTAATAATAACAGTTAAACTACTCAAATACACTTAAACTACTAATAAACTAATAATCTAGTCCGATTCATTTTGCCAGTGCTTATAAAATATATCGTCAGGAGATACCTGAGATTAAAAACAAACGCCTGGCTGAGCTACCACGGTATATACTTGGTGGTGGGACTTCTCTTCTGCCATGAAGTCCGTCTGGGTATGTATCACCATCATACCCATTTCTGCCGCCAAATACTTGCCTACCGACACAAACCCCATAGACATCCAGGAGGTCCTTATATAAATGGGTATTCTCGTTACATTCCTCCGATCTATCCCATCAAAAAGGGACATACCTGGATGTCTATTTCATGTGAACACGGATTATCTAGGCCTGGTAGCTCAGAAGAGCCGTGGTAGCTCAGATGGTTAACGCTCGCGGTAAGTTTCACAGTACACAAGCAACCCGGGTTCTATCCCCGCCGGCACCAATGATATTGTTAATTGCAATTTTAAGTGCTGATTTACCACGTGCTGGAGAAATACGTCATGAGGAAACCTGTATGTCTGAGAAATAAAAAAAAAGTATTTCGAAGACATGTGAAGTTCGCCAACACGCATTGGGGCAGCGTGACGTACATTTCCTTGCCCTAAAACCCTCTCAGAAATGAGAGGAGGCCTGTACCCAGCAGTGGGACGTATATAGGCTGTAACTTTAACTTTTTTATGGATTACCATACCCCAGAAGAGTTGGACAGACTAAGCAAGTTATAACAGCTGCTGTACATGTCGGCGCGTACTGCTGTGTCCCGGACAGGCATTTTGTCTAGACGGCTCCATGGCGAAGTGGCTTAGCAATGAGTTGCAGCGCTGAGGGCCTTGGATTCCAATCCATCACGGAATAAGTATTTGTATGGCCTACAATTAATTGTTCCGGGTTTGGATCAATACATGAATTGTCCTTGTACAATTTTATATGGATATAAATTCCTAGTGTGGAATAAAAAATCTTTGCCTTCTCCAACGTATCTATGCTGTTTATTATTTGAAGTTAGTTCCTAGACTATATGCTCGTTTGCCTGTATTATATTTTAGTATTGAAGTATTTATTTGCATTTTTTTATTACTGTACCTTTTTATTCGAAGGTAGTCGCCGTTGATCGAAAAAAGAAAGGAGCACATAACGTAAAGTTAAATAAAAATATCATTTTATATACGTTCCACTATTGGGCACAGACCTCTTATCTCTGAAAAGGGTTTTAAAGAATAAACATTATTACATTAGATTCAGAAAATCCTCAGTTCCATTAATACCTACATCTGTCATAACTGTGCCACGACTGAAATATTTAAGCTGTGCAGCTCCAAATATGTCTGCTCTCAAGTTGCAATTGATAGAAATGACAACGTGTGGTATAAGTTATAGGACTTTCCCTTTTACGTTTTTTATTACTGTGTGGTGGAGTCGTAAAAAAAATTT